AAGGATGGCAAATGAAAAAGTAGAGTTGGGTTATCCGGGCCAATGATCGCGTCCCCCAGACTCGCCTGGTCTCTTGTGTGTTTCGGGAATGGGGTTTCCCAGCCTTCCCTGCAGATGCAGCATGGTCTAATAAACCTCTCTCTATAGCAGAATTTCCTGATCAAACTAACTTAAATATTCCTTTTTCTAATTCTTCCTTAATTCATCCTAAACTAAGAAAACAGATCTTAATTGCCTCCAGTCTGGCTAAAGGTTAAGGTAGGAGGGAGGGAAATGCATATCCAGGCTGTCTTTCAGGTTGCACATGGGACTTGAACTTTAGCAGAAGGGCCCTTGTCTGTCTCTGCCATAAACCGTTGCAACTCCTCAGCCTTCTGTACGGCAGAGTCTCCGTCATTGGCTGGATCACAAGACAGGGACCCTGCTGTGTACTGAACACATTTAGGGGAGAGGGAAGGAGCCTGAGAATAGAATGCTCGGCCAGATCATTGAAGTGAGTCAGGTATGGAGTTTAGGAGTGTCCAGAGTGTGTGGTGACAGGCAACTGGAAGTCCTCCTGTGAGGACCAAGGAGCGTCCTGGGAGGAGGGGGGTCAGGGCACTGCAGGTTGGTCTGGTAGGCGTAGAGTCTGAGCTGGAAGAGGGGGGGGGAGCCCACACGCATCGTGGCAATTGTCACCCTGATTTGTCTCTGACCCAGCTGGGGGAAGACGACATAAACAGGACTACCGTAGGCACACTCTGGAAAAGCTCTTTGACTTTAAACTATAACACATTGAGCCCAAGCACCACTGCTTGGGGACTTTCTAGCAGAGTGTGACGGAGCACAGTGGTGAGCAGACGTGTTCTCTCACTCTCCTCCTGAACCCACATAGCCTGGGCATAGACACAGGATAGGCAGCAGCTGAGTCCTGGGGGACCCAGGAAAGCCCTCACTGAGCTGAGCGCTCAGCGATCCCAGGGCATCCGGGCTCTCACAGGGAGGAGGAACGTACACAAAGAAGCTTGGGATACAGAAACAGGCCAAGGAAACCAGCTCTGCTCTTCCCTTCCCTTCCAGAACATTCTGTTCCGAAGCCATTAAGTGAGACGGAGCAAGGCGAGCCTCTGTCCCTGAGAGTGGAGTGGCCATGGTGGCCCAAATCAGGAGGGTCGAGCCAACCAGGATGAGGAGGAGGCTCACACGGGAAAAGGGGTGGTGACCCACAGCGAGGCTGGGGCCCACGTGGAGTGAGGGAGGTATCCGCATGGGAAGGTGGCCCCGTGTGTGTCTCAGCCCAAGTGCAATGACTAGGGTAACTTAAGCAAGGTGAGAAGATTGACCCACGGGGAGGCCCTGTGGCATGGGGGCTCATGCTCTAAGTGGAGTGAGCAGGGGTCTGCCTAGGAAGGTGTCAGGAACCGAGTGGGTGAGGAGGGTGTCTGTGCAGTAGGGTGGGCCAGGGCAGCATGCTAGTGTCCTCACGGAGGGCGACCCAGCATGGGTGTCTGCCTGAGCAGGGCGAGGAACGGGTCCGTGTGCCCTCAAAGGTGGCTATGAGTCTCCCTCTTTGTATTCTGCGCCTAGCAGAGTGCAAAGTGATTGATTAGTAGGTGCCTAAGTAATGGTAATTGTTAGTGAATAATGAAATAAATGAGGACAACCTGGGTTCAAGTCCCATCCTTACCACTCAGAGCTATGTACCAATGTGTCTTCGTCTCTGACAACAGGATACTATACATGAAGAAACTGAAGAGCTGAAGTACCGTTCCACCTGAAGGACCCCCTCTGCTCTCCCTAGTGGGAAAGGGACTGTGGCATTCTCTGATGGGCAGGCCTTCCTCATACTTCCCGTGCTTCCCTTTGTGGGCACCTGGGCAGTCTGCTCAGATCCTCGGGCCCTGGTATCCCCTACGTCAAGTGAGAAGAGCATGAGCCGACTCCCCAGAGCCAGCCAGGGCTGGGCCATGGCGGACCCAGAGGGAGGGAGCAAATTTATGGCCATGGTGAGCAGACCTCTGTGTCCCGTGTCCCCAAGCCCTGTTCAGTTTATTTGGCCTTGCTTGCCCGCACAGGTCTGTGGGAATAGGTGTCGCACTCCCCTTTCTCCATAAATACTGCACTTTCATAGTAGACTGAGGCCCTTGGGCTTGCTCAGGGAACACCAGGGTGCCTTCCCATTCTAGCAGACTGGCTTCTTTCTAGCAGACTGGCTTCTTTCTACCAGGTGCAGGTGTCCGAGCGCGGGCACTGAGTGGGAACCACCAGCCCTGGACTAGCCACGTGACCGCAGGTAAATGCTGCCCTGCCCTGGACAGCTGAGGACAGCCTGAGAGCTGTATTCTGGGGTCTCAGTCCTCAGAGTTTCCCTCCTGACACCATGGGCCTCATGCAGGCAGAGGGGACAAACTTATGACAGGCAGCATGAGATCTGATGGATATCTAGAAGATGTCTCATCAAATACACCTCTCCCCGCACAGACACACCCCCAGTGGAGTCAGTTTTGTGGGTAGTTAAAACACAAATAATAAAAGACAATTTCACTAAATATGAATACATTTAAGTTATTCTAAACCAAATTGTTCTGAATTTTTACGTAAGCTTTTTAAAATTTTGTTTTTAGTTAATGCCATTATGTTTACAGCCCTGAGTCAGATTTCCTGGTCTACATCCTTAGTGTTCTTTACAGGTGACATTGCCCACAGTTTTCTCTCCACCAAGGTCTTCTCCCCTGACCTGCAGATTTAGGTATCCAGCTGCCTCCTGCACATGACCACTTGGATGTCTCTCAGGCACCTCCCTCCACAGAGTGAGCTGTGAACCTCCTGCTCCCTCCTGCCGACACCACCCTAGGCTGCTTCTCTTAAACCTCCTAGGGTCTCCCAGATCAGCAGCACTGTCCCACTCCTCCCTCTGCCCCCACCAGCCCCTACCTTCTCTGACTCACACCACAAGGAGTCCTGCTAAATCCTGCTGATTTTACTTCCTAAGTAGTTCTCAAAGCTGCCCATGGTTTCCGCCTCTGTTGCCGATATCCTGGTTCAAGGCACCGTCATTGCTCACCTGTAATACTGCAAACAGCCTCCCAGCTGGTCTTGCAGGCTTTTGCCCCCTTCACATTAGATACCCTACAGCACTGAACTTTGAGAAAGGTAACTCCGAACCATCACTTCCCTGTTGAAAACTAATTTTTCACTATTGCCCTTAAGATAAAGTTCAAAATCCTTACTCTGATTTTATAAGCAGCCCTCCAGGGAGACCAGCTTGTCCAAAACAGCCAGGGACTTCCCTGAGTATAGCCCCGGAAGGCCTGGGTCCTCCTCAGTGCCTGGCACACTGAGCAGGGCCATCACTCTGCTCTGCTTACCAACCCCTCCCCACCCCTGCGCACCCCTGCTATTTTCCCCTATTCTGAATTTCTTTCCTTTAATGCTGTCTGTCACCTGGGGCCTTCACACTCTCAGTCCTGTGGCCTCCTACTGAGAAATCTCTGCCTCCTTCTCTTTGCCTTTTAAACTTTTACCAGCGCCCCCAGATTGGTGGCAAGGTGTGGCAGGCCCGAGGACTCGCCCCTGCTCTGTGGCACTTTCTAATCCCCCCTGTGAGATATAGGCAGGTTATTTCAGTCAAGGGATTATTTGGATCTTCCGTCCAAGTCTGTAAGTGCAGCAGGTGGGCTCTCTCGTCTCTGCCCCTGATGTCACCCCACATCTGGCACAATGTCTACCAGAGGTTTCAGGGGTGGTGTTTAGATCACGACTTGTTCAGGCACAGCCTGAACACAGAGTATGTGTGTATCTGATATTTTGGCTCTTAAACAGGCAGCCTCAGAAACAGAAAACAACCAGCTTATAAATACATGATAAAAATGTCTGCTAGCACTCACGATTAAACATATGCAAATTAAAATAATTGTAAGATTCATTTTTTTACCTCCGAGATTCCTAAAGATCGAAAAGTGGTGGGAAGGCTGGGTCATCAGCAGGGTGGGGGAGTGTAAACCTGCAAGAATCCTTCTAGAACAACTGAGCAATCTCTGCCAAAAGTTCATCTGGACATATTTTTTGACAACTTCACTCCTAGAAATATGTTCGTCAACTATTCTTATGTATGAGCATGTGAAAGGTCATACAAGAACATTCAACAGATCATTGTGACCAAGGAGGAAAATATGGAGAAAAGACACTGCCTCTTCATCAAAGAGAGACTTATTAAATACACTGTGAAAGTCCTTCTCACAGAGATTGTGAAGTTTTTTAAATGAGGTAGATTTACACATGTCCATTCGAAGCAATCTTTGAAGCAAAACATTTAAAAAGGTACATGATGTATATATTTTAAATTGTGATTTTAAAAGAAAATGTACATATGCATAAAAATGTACACAGGCATAAAATATTTCTGCAAAAACATGCAAGAAACTCTGAACACTAATTAGCCCTGGGGAGAGAGACCGAGGTTTGGGATAGGCATTGATTCATCGTAGTTTCTGTTTCGGGTGTTTAAATATTTTAATGTAGTCATGAATTACCTTTGCAATTATTACCAAAAGAAAACTCTGAGTCTTTTTTTTACAAGAAAGAAGCCCATGAATTTTTATTTCCCTTTGATTCAAGTAATTTCCTCCTTCTGTCCCCCCTTCCCTCCTTCTTTTCTTCTGTTCTCTTCTCCATTCTGAGCAAATTATCTTTCCAGAATCTTCTAAGAATATTGAAGATCAAATGAGACGAGTTTCCCACCCCCGCCCAGATCCAGGCCTGACTGGGTGAGCCCATCCCTGCCGACTTGCTGGTGTGGGCTTCTCTGACCCGATGGACGTGGCACCTCTTGTGCCGGCCTCTTGTCCTGTCAGATCACCTGAATGGAGATTCCAGCCGGGCCTGAGCTTCCGCCTGCAACTCCTCCCAGCACCTCGTTTTTCCTTCTTTCTGCCCCCAGGGCCACGCCGTGTGGAATGTGTGAGGAAACTGTGTTGCCACCCTGACACTGTGGACACCTGGAGATAGGACGAGACTAAGAAGCCAACAGGTGACTTGTGGGAGCCAGTGGTGGATCAAGACTGTACTCACCACTCAGTAGGGGCCCCTGGTGTCAAGTACCCATTTGGCACTGGACTGATCAAGTCAACCATTGACATTGGATTGTCTCTCCCTCTTCCCTGTCTACTCTCCCCAGCCTCTCACTCCTGTTTCTTGGGATCACTTCTGAAAGTAAACTACTAGCTCTTGGTGTGGAACTGCTCCTTGTGGGAACCCAGTCTGGGCTGCCATCCCTCCCAGTCACTGTGCGCTCTGGCCTCCTTGGACACCTGAGGATCAAGATAAAATGATTGTCCCTGCGGAGCTGCTGTCTCTGAGTCTCCCTGGGGTGTAGCTTTTATCCTCTAGGTCCTCATGCCAGTCTTCCCTGCCCCCCACCCTCTGTCACTGTGAGGATGGCATCTGTGAACCTAGCTATTCTTCTTTAACATTGTCCCCAAGTCAGACAGAAAAGAATATTACAGATTTTCCAGGTAGGAGAATCTGTTCTGCAAATAAACTATATCCTTCATGCTGGGATCATCTAGCCTCCATTTTAGATCCCTAAACTCTGATTTGGTGATTTGAAAAACCCGAGAACCTTTGGGTCTAACCCTGATAGGCCCCAGATTCACTGGAGGGCGAAGGGCATATGTGGTTTGCTCATTTGGAGACCAAGGCTTCATGCACAGAAGGTGCTGGACCAGCCTGCCGATCCCTGGCTTAGGGTCACTATGGTTCCATTGCCGTCTGGTCAGAGAGCCTACAAAGGGCTGCTGATGCCTTTCCAACAGGCCTGGAAAAGTGACTTGGTGGTCTCCCCTTCTTCTGACCCGCCCTTTCCTTCCTTCTCTGTGTTGTGCTTTCAAAACAAACCACCTCTGCTGGCTCTGGTAAATTTCAGCGAGGGAAATTTCCAGTTGGGAATGAATGGTAAGAAGACCTAGTGGAGGGACACTATACATAACTTGTCTTTAACGGCCATGATAACATAATTGCCTTTTCCCTGCTGCCTGCCATCAAGAAATAAATAACGTTTTCATTTGAAAATCAAACCAGAATAGGGTGCACAGTCTGCCAAGATTCAATAAGGTACGTGTAAATATGCAACATGGCTGTATTATTTACAGACCTGACTATAATTTTCTGCAGGAGAATAGGTTCATTTGGGCGCTGTGCAGACCCGAGTCGACTTAATCTGACAAAATCAAAATCCGCCCTAGAAGTCTAGAAGTTTAGAGCTAGAGAGACCTTCTGGAGTCACAAAGTGTAAAGCCCATCTTCTCCCCAAGGTCATGCGATGACAAGATGGGGACATGCAGGGAGGGAGAAGAGACCCATTCTCCCTCACCTCCTAGAGAAAGGCCTTGATTCTTAGATCCAGTGAAGGGAGCACCGACATCTTTTTACCTCCTCTAGCCAAGATTTGGAGGTTGTAAATCCCCACTGTTCAATTGAGAAAATAGGTTTGGAGAATGAAGTGACTTGTTCCAAGTTGCACAGCTAACCTGTGACGGGGACTGAATTGGAACCTGATTCCAGTTTAAGGCCAGTATTTTTCTATTCATTATGACATCTTAGTTGTTCCTGGTTTCTGGACTCTTGGGTCAACTTTGATATCTCCACAGCAACAGTCCTGTTTCTCCCACCCCACCCCCACTCCTCAACACCTCACTCTGATCCCCTCTTTCTCCCAGGCCCAGGGCTTGCTCATACTGTGGATGGCTTGAGCCTCCCTAAGCCTCCATCACAGGTGCCTTCTTCTGGACATACTTCTTGCTTCTTACTCCAAGCCCATTCTCAGTTGTTTTCTTCACTTTCTCCCAGAGTGGCCCTTTCCAAATAGAGCTATTTACAATTTCTTTCTTCCAAAAGAAGAATTAAAAATGAAAACCACATTTTAGGTTCCCTCTTCTTCCATTACTTTCATGCTCAAATCCAAGCCTTTGGCCTTGGCATCCAAGGCTCTCTGCAACAGGGCTCCTGCTGTGCCCCTCATGCCCCATCACTGTGCTGCCTGTACTCCCACTGCGGCATTGGTCTTGCAGTATGGCCTTATAGAAGCACAAGGCATTGAATTCATTTTTGTGTCCAACAGAACATCTGCCACAGGGTCTAGACATAGTAGCTGCTCAATGAAGGTGTTGAAGGGAATGGACTTTTCCTGTTCTCTGCAGCGTGTTTGTACAGCATGTAAGACCGACCACACCACTCCATGTGGGGTGGGGCAGTTCTGGGACCGCCCTCCTTCGTAGCAGACACTCTCCCACAGAGGGGTGAGATCTGCCCCTGTGCAGAGTGACCCAGGACTGGCTGACCTAAGCGAAACTCATGAACGCCTTACTAATACAATTCAAATAAGTTTTTCTGAAATCATCATAATGAGTTGCCTGCTGTTTTCTACAAACTTTATCTGAATGGTGTTGATGTCTTTACTGACTCCCCGAAACTGACCTGCTCAAGACTGGGTAAAGAGGAGTGTTGTCAGAGTCTCCCTAGACATGGCAGCACCCTGTTCCAGTGCCTTGTACTGGGGTCCCGAGACGCTTTACGAGGAGTGTCCAGTCTAGTGGGGACGGAGAAGGTGTGTGCAGGGTAACAACCCTGCAGGGAAGTCCTGGGTGAAGACAAGGGGGTGAATACAGACACTGTGTAGTGAGCTGGGGTGGCAGGGATCAAGTGAGATAATGTACAGAAAACGTCTACACAGGGCCTGGCAGAGGCTCTATGAATGGTAACAAGTCTTGTCCTCACTGTCGCACCTCCGGGTGGGCACATGGAGGACCAAGGCCTCTTAGCCCGCATCTGACTGCTGTGCTTCCTCCCACCCACTCCATCTGCTCATTGTGAACAATGAGCTGCACCAAATTCTTTTCCTCCCTGGAAACAAAAAGCTGTTCCTTATGCTGGGAACCTTCTGTTCCCAGCTCTTAGCAAAACTGACTCCATCCCATCCTTCTGGCCTCAGGGTAAATGCCACCTCCCCAGAAAGGCCTTTCCCGACACCCCCATCACCCCCAGAGTTATTGTCTATCCCGTCACACTGGCTGTTTCTTTCTTTGCAGTTACCGGAAGCTGTAACAATTTGGTTTATTTTTTTGCTTTTATTTATTGTCCCATTGGACTTCAAGCTCCAGAAAGAGACGAGTCACCCCTGTGTTCTCCACTGCTGCACCTCAGGGCCTGCAGTGTGCGTACTGCAGGATCGGCCTGTGGCTGCTCTCCCTTTGTCTGGGACAGCTGGCCAGGGCTCAAACAGAGAGGTGCGTCTGACGGGAACCTCGCAGGGCGAACAAGAGTTCACCCACCAGGGGTCTGGAAGGTGAGGTGCACCGGGCCTGCTTTTCAGTGGGAAGTACTGAGAAGAGAGGCCTTGTTGTGGTCAGCAATTCTGTCCAAGAGAAGGCAGGCTCCTAGTCAAAAGTGGATATTCAAACAGAAATGCCTTGAGGGTGGGAGGGAAGGAAGGGTGGTGGGCACCTCATCTCGCTCTCAGGGGCTTGGGACTCAGACTTCCACCCTCTTACCTGGATTCTCCTGCCAGCCTTCTGAGTCGGAATGTGTTTTTATCAAGGTAACCTGCCCACCAGGCAGGGGGAGACCTTATCAGGTGGCCAAGCCCAGTTTTCAGCCAATAATAATGAGACGTATTATCATTTATTGAGCCAGTACCGAGTGTCAACCATTGTACTGGGCATTTTATATCTGCGTAAGCCACAGTTCCTGGGCAAGGTTGCCATTACTTCCCCATATTCTGAGGCTATAACTAGGATTCAAAGAGGGGGAGTGACACGTCAAAATTCTTGGAGTTGTGACATGATGGATGGAGTTTCAGACCCAGCTACATCCGACTGCGGAACCAGTATTCTCAACCACAACCTCCTTTGGCCGGTGCACCTCACAGGTGAATCAATCACTTAGGTTTGGCTCAGACCCTTGAGGGTGAGTCAGCATAAGTCTGGCTGCCTGAACTTGCTCCTCTCTGGGAAGCTGATATAAACCTAATCCTTAAACTGACAACATCTAGGGCGAGGCTCTGGATTTTGGTAATCCCAGATAGGGCCTCTTCTCCCTAGGGCAGGACCCAGGGGTACCATGGGGGTGAGTGATTGCAGAAACTGTGCCTGGCTCTGCCACGGAGTGGGGTGGCTGAGAGCTTGGGCGGAGAGGCAGACAGACTGGTTTGGAAACCAGCTCCTGCCCCGAGTAGCTGTGTGACCCTGGCCCGGGCAAGTTCTTTGCCACTTTACACTTCAACTCTTACCTGTAAAACGAGGACGAGGAACATCTCCGGGGTTCTCATCTATGCTATGAGGATGACATGGGAGAACGTATAGAAAGGGGTGCAGAGAGCAGGAAGAGTCATAAGCTGGGCACGTAGCAAGTCCTTGTCGATCAGCGGGCTTTATCTCACTGTTGTTAATAGTCTGAAGGGGAGGCACTCAGAGTAGAGTAGGTTGGAAACTTGGCGCCATGTGATTTGGGGAAGTCAAGACCCATAGTCATCTGTAATGACACCTGTCTCAGGGTTAAAGGATTGCATGTCTGTGCTTGACACACACTGGGTGTCAACAATGCCCATTCTTTCCCCATCTTAGGTAAACCCTATGACCTGCCCAGGCGAAGAGATTGTGGTCACTTTAAGGCCTGGAACCCTGCCTCCTGTTGCCCTGGTTTCTTCCCCTCACTCCCCAGCAAGCCCCTAGACTTGGCCTTGCCCTCCATGGTTGTCTTATCCATGCTGTGGGTTCTCACCACCCTGACTTCTGTCCACGTGTCAGTCATGCCCTCCTGGTATTCCCTGAGCCACACGGCAGCAGCTACACAGTGAGGCACCCCAGGCTCCGCAGCGTGGCACCCAGATTCTAAAGCTGTTATCTACCGCCTGTGGAACCTAGGTCCAGCCATTCCCACCTCTGGGCCCTCATTTCCACATTCGTGAAATGAGGACACTGGGCCAGCTCCCCACATGCTGTAGTATTTGTATGAGTGAATTATTCCTTCCTTCCATCTTTCCATCCATCCATCCATTTATCCATTTATCCATCCTTCCCACAAACTCTCAGCACCTTCTCGGTGCTGTTAAGGAAGATTGTAGGAGGAGTTTAAAGGACATGCCCCAGGCCTCACACTCCTCACACCATGGTGAATTATACAGTCCTCTGCAAAATAGGATGCATCTTTGCAGGGGACAAGCAGTATGAGCAGATGGCGGCAGAGGGGCACTTGGTAAGTCTTGCCTGAGTCCCTGCACCAGTGGTTTTGCAGTGGCAGGCACCCAGAAGTCGGCCCTGCTTCCCGTGGAGATGCCTTCCCTTGCTGAGCGTTACTCAGAGCCCTGCAGTGTCTGCCTCCCTGCACCCGTCCTTCTCGTCCTCTTCGTCCTCCTGGAGAGCAGCACAAAGGTCCTGTTGTGGGCCAGAAGCCCAGGCAGCAGGCGAGCCTCTGGGTGACTCACTATCTTGCCATTTCCTTTGTGTGGCCCCGCAGGATCCTTGCTGGAAGCCACTGTGTGGCTGCCTGGCTCGGGGTGGGGGCACTGGCATTGATCTCTAGCATCACCCCTGCAGGAAGGGGGAAGGGGATGGCCCCGGGACTCACAAGCCTTTTTATGTAGCTGGGGTCTCCCACACACAATGCCGCATAAGGAAGGTGTCTGGCGCAGGCAGGAACAGCAGGATGTTTGCAGCCTGGGCAGGAATCAAAGCGCCTGCGGTGGGGGAGGCATGTGGTCCCCATCAGGCAGTCCTCTGCTTCCGGTGCCCTAAGCACATGAAAAGTGAAAATTAACCACGGAAGGGAAGGGCCGGATGGCTTGGGAAGCAACGTGGGCTCCCGGCCTCCTGGGGGATCTTTGGTCCCTGCTCAGATGCCCTGTCAGCTGCTACAGAACCCATCTGAGTTTGAGACAGTTCCCAGGCCTGGCTCAGGCCTGGGACTCCTTGTAATCTGTTCCCTGGCAAGGCTCCAGCTAGTTTGTGGCCAGAGGCAGCCTGGCCAGGGGCAGCTTGGCTAGGGGCACCTAATGACCAGTGAGAAAGTAATCGAGCCTAGGAGCCTAGAGATGAGTTCTCCCAGAGGTTAACTGCAACACCTCCAGCAAATTTTAACAGTGGAATTTCAGGCATCTTTTGCAGTAGGTTTTAAGGCATAGCTCCTAAGACTCTTCCTGGCCTGGCTCCTGACTCCTCTTCTGTTTTTCGATCTACTCACCCACCCCTTCAGCTTTCTACTCTGGCCACTGTGAACAACTTGTTCTTTCCTGCTCACACTGTGTTCTTGCTCACCTTCAGGTTTTGCACAGATTGTTTGTTCTTCCATCCTTAGGGGCATGTGGTGAGTCCTTTCCTTGAAGAGCGAGCTCAGGTGCCACCTCCCACAGGAAGCGTTCCCCTGGAGTCAGGCATGGAGCTATCCCCCACGGAGCTGTCCCTCTTTGGCTGTCCTCTGAGAGCCCTTGCAGAGACCTGTGAGAGCACTTACCACCTGGCTCTGTGATTCCCGCTGGCTTACGTGAAGGAGGGCACTGAAGCAGTGAGTGCATGAGTGAGTGAATGAGTGAACGCAGGGCTTGGGGAAGGAAATTGCTTCACACACCAGTGGCCTGTGGGTGGGTACTAAGACACACCCTACAGGAAGCCTAAGAAAATGGCTCTAATTCTGTCTTTCCTTTTACAATTTTTAGGCATCTCTTGTGAAATGGCAGGTGCTATTGTGAGGTTGTTGCCCTGGACTGAGGAGGCACCCGCACAAACGAGGGAGGGTGCATTCATCATCAGCATGGGGGGGTCAAAGCCAGCTCACAGTTTGTAAACAGACCGCTGAAGCATAAACATGCACGGACAAAATGATGGGCCCGTCAGCAGTCTGTCTCTGAGAACAAACAATGCAGGAGGCATCGAGAATAATCCCACACACTCCCACGGTTCTTCAGGGTTTGCAAAGCTTTCACCACCTGTAGTCTTATTGGATCTGAGTAGGCAGGGTGGAGATAATTCCCGTCACTGTTTTCGAGATGAGCATACCACACTTAAGGGAAATGGAATCTTGCTTAAAAAGTGGGAAGAAAAAACCCAAGTTTTCTGTAAAGTGACCCTCAGAGACTAGTGGGTGTCAGGTATCTTGAAGGTGAAAAAGACGTGGTTCTTGCCACCAGGGAGATCCAAGGTTGTCAGGGAGATCCACGTGACAATGCGACCTTCACGATGGGAACAAGGGGATATTGAAGTTTTGAGGAGGGAGAGGTTTTCTTCTGGCTGTAAGTCAGGGAAGGCATTGTAGAAGAGGAGACTTTTCATAGCATCTCCAAAGGTAGTTCAGAGTCTCCTGAAGATGAAGAGGAGAAAGGGAGGAGAACCCAGTGAGAGGGAGCTGTGGGGGGGCGGGGGCTGTGACAGGGAGGCAAGCCACCACAGGTTTCCTCTCTTTGGCTAGAAGGTCTTAGTCTGTCCTTGTTTAATCCAATAAGGACGACAAGGGCAGACACAGTGGTTGGTTAATGTGAAGGTCCTAGGAGCTTTTGCAAAGCACCCTTCTCTGGGCCTCCCCAGATCTCAGCAGCAGTGAGCTGAATCATCACGTTTAAATAGGAAACTTGGGTAGTAGTTGGAGAGGCGTGAAAGGGGGTCAATGGAGGATTATGTTAAGGTAAGAGAAACATACTACAGTATGTCCTAGGCTGAAAGGAATGATCCAGAAGAAAGGCAAAATAGTGCCCAAGCATCATCAACTTGGACATCAGCCTGCATCTGCTCTAACTGACACACAGTTCCCTCTTATGGGGTCTTCTTCATGACTTAGTGGGCAGGCAACTGGCATGTTGGGTCCACACCCATCATCTTCGCCCTTTTCTGTTCCCTCCGGTTCCTCATCTGGTCAGCCCCAGCAACACCTCCGCTGGTTATAGGGAGAGAAAACCAGAAATATCCATCCAGGTGGGCCTGCCTGCTCCATCCATGTATCTCTTGGAAAGGAAACACAAATACAAGTAGAAGGTTCTGAGGGAGATTGAGCCAACCTGCAAGTAGCCCTTAGCTACGTTGTTGTTTAGATTCATTTATGGATGATGATCCAACCTATCGCCAGTCACCAGGAAGCAATGCAACCCTCCCCCGAACTCCATTTGTGCTGACAAGGTGGGACCTGGGCATCTTGTACTTCTGATTCTCATCAGCTGACTCAGCCAGGCATGGACACTCAAAACTGGACTTCAGTCTGGGTCAAGCGAGTCCGATTCTTTCTTGATGGGATTTGCACTAAGAAACATAGAGTCTTAAGTTAGGAGTATGCTCAAGCTGAAAGGTCCTGAGACATCAAGACAGGAACTAGGACTAAGTATAACAAAGCAGGATCCACAGGCAAGCCTTTATTATGAACACGTGCGTGAAAAACAGAGTCTTGTGCAAAGGTCCAGTTTGCCAAGAGTACAAAGAGTTAGAGACAAGATATTCTTTTTTAAAAAAAAATTTATTGATTATGCTATTACAGTTGTCCCATTTTCCCCCCTTTATTCCCCTCTGCCCTGTACACCCTCTCCCACTTGCATTCCCCCCCACTCTTTAGTTCATGTCTGTGGGTCGTTCATATAAACTGTTTGGCTTCTATATTTCCTATACTATTCTTACCCCCACCCCCGGTAGGATTTGTCAGCATCCAGTGAGGTGTTTGGGGCTCCATAACACCTAATCTGCCAGTCCCCTTTCAGACGAGAAAACTGCAGCTCTAGGCAGGAGTAGGAAAGTTCTCCAGGTCAGCCAAGGAAGACACGAGGCCGGAATGTGGTGCAGGTTTACCACAGCCGTGTGCGTCCATGCCCTTTCTCTGTTTTCTGGAAGGCTAGACAGGCCACTAAATGTCACTCACAAAGGAATTTCGAAATGACCTACCCTTAAATTAATGGCTGAGGCTGGTAGTGGGTGGGTAGAAGGAACAGATTATAACAAAAGCCCCATTGCATGAATTTAGCAAAGCTCTGAACCACACAGACCAGAAGTCTACAGAAACATTTGACAAAATGGTTAGTTTTTGTTCAATAATCCCAGGACTCAATTTATAATAAGCCTTGGGCAAGACCCCAGTCCAAAAGCCTTTATCATTTTACAAAGCCCTCTTGAGACCACACAGGGCTTCTGGCTCCCAGAAACAGCGGGTGCTGTTGCTCTCACAGGTAATGTTGTCACTAACGCACAAGGGGAAACAGAGGCAGAGACACCCATGATGCAGGACAGCGGGGAGGGGGACAACATTAGATCCTCTCTGGGGTTCTGTCTAGCTGGAACACCTTGGAGATGGTGTGCTGTTCCTATCTCCTGAAGCTGGCAGCTTTGGATGTCAGGAGCCTTAGCTGGAGAAGCTGGGAGGGAGGCAGGGGAGAGCGGTGGAGAAGGAGAGAGAGATGGTCTGGGAGTGAGAAAGCCCAGGATAAACTGAAGGTAGATGAAAGGGCAGGCAGACAGAGCCAGATGAAAGCGCAGCCTAGAGCTGTGAGAAGGTTGGACCCAGCCTGTGTCTAACATGTAACACAGGTCTCCAAACTTAAGGGCCCATCAGAATCACATGGGAGGCTAGTTGAATTCCCAGTTTCTGGGGGAATCTCCAGAGACTCTGAGTCTTCGGTGTGGCCAGAAGTGGCGTTGTGACCAGTTCCCCAGCTGGTCTTACACAGGCAGTCCTTAGGCATAACTGGCAGCAAAATTTTCCTCTGTGGACGTCCATGACCTGCTCTGCAAATTGACAGGTTTGTCAAAGACGATTCCTACTGTCCCTGTCAACTTTAACTCTGGGCTGCTCAAAGGCTTCCATGTCACCTCTGCCCAAGCTCTCTGGCCTTGTTATCTCTCTTGACATAGCTATTTCCTGAGCCTTTTAATTTATAAGAGAGGCAAGTTGTCAGCTACCTGTGCAGCTCTGGAAAAGGCCTGCAGATAACAGATTCTAGCACCTCCATCTGGTCTGCCCATTTGGATAAGAACAAGGCAGCTTCATGTGTGTTCATATGGGTGTCCAAATGGGACAGAGTCCCTCTCTCTGGAGGCTGTGGCTTGGGGCCAGGACAAAACCACTTCCAGGTCTCAGGTCATAGGACCATGCGGGATGATTTATTTAAGGAAGAAAACTTCAAGGGCTTAAAGGAAATTAAACATGTATATTTCTCCAGCAATTATGCATGTGCTTTCCCTTGAAAAATAGTCCCCATGCCCTGTCTGGAAAAAAAAAGCCAATTTCTCAATGAATCTGTGTTCTAAAGGCATCCAGAGGGGTATGGTGTTTTTCTAGCAGTGAAAGCCACATGAAAGTCTTTGCAGCAGGTTTGCAGTGTTTCTGCCGCAGCTCCTTTTGGGGCGGACTGGAGAGTCAGGGAGTCCTGTCTGGGAAAACGAGACAGGCTGGGCCTGAAACATTGATTTCTGGTTCAAGTTTCTCAGTGAAATGTGAATAAGGAATTTTCCACTTCTTTTTGTCCTGATTCACCTTGGCGGAGTCTTTGGAGTCCCAGACTGGGGCAGTCAAAGTCTGTCTCAGGTGGGCATTGAGCCAAACTTGCACCCCAAATGAATAGTCCTCTGTACTGTTCCAGTATCAGTTGTCTCCTTTTGGCTGGGAAAAGACTCCATCCATCTGACTTCTGCTTTAACCATTTTTGCTTTAGGAGGAACTTGGCCAGAATGTCAGGACAAGAGAATGTCATAGTGCCATGTAAGTCCTTATCACTGAATGTGAACTTAAGTGGGTGATATGGATCCATTTGTACTAATTGAATAGCTAGCATATGTCAGGCTTATTGCCAGACTTTGGGAATCAGAAGGTAAATAGGACACAGTCCCTGTTCCCCAAGAGTTTATAGTCTTATGAAGCTGACAGTTGTGCAAATATCAGCCAGGGAAGACTCTGATAAACAGGACAAGAGTGAAGCAGAGAAATGGGGGAGATATGTTCTGGCTGGAAGGCACTGGGGAACGCTTTGTAGAAGAGCGGGCATTTGCACCGGGTCTTGAAGGATAAGTGGAACTAGAGAGATGATGGAGGGGAAGGGGACAGGGGAAAGGCTGTCAGAGAGAAGTACTGTGGTAGAACATCCCTGGTACACGGGCGTACAGTAAATAGTCTGGGGTCACTAGTGGGTAAATGTACACAAAGAGGAGTAGGAGGTGAGGCTTGGACAGAAGGCAGGGACGGAGCTACGAAGGGAACTCTAAGACATGGTGAGGGTCTGGACTTCACAGGGCAGTGGTAAACAACCATCAAAGGGCTTTGCGCTGGAGAAAGAGGAATTGGATTTAGAGAGAACAGATCAAAGTTTTTGCAATACACCCAGCGAGAAATTAGTTTCACCCATGTTAGGCTGAGGAAATGAAGGTCAAGGGCAGAATCAAAAGATATTTTGGAAAAGAAAAAAATTTCATTAGTTGACCAGGGGCAAGAGGGCGAATGTAATGATTCCCAAATACGTGCTGATCCCTAATTTGGACAATGACTGGGGGTGGTAGGATGGCTGATGGTGACTCGCACAGGCCCTGGAGTCAGAAGACCTCCACCCA